TGTGCAACTGCTCCTTTAATGTCTATAAAATCTGTAGCAGTTGCCTTTTAAAATATGAATAGAACATTTAATTTTATTTTGTTATTCAATTTAGATTATATGGTAATACAAGCTGAAAATCATTTTTAATTTAACATGGTGTTGATTTTGCTCACTATCACCAGTCTGTGGAATTTAGTATCACATTTTGGACAGATTTTCCACCATCAATCTGACACTTATACCATATGCACCAATCAATAGGGTGAGTCAAGTACATGTAGCATTGGTAAGGAGACAATAAACTTGTTTAATGAATGAACTTGTTTAATTCCCTTGGGAGCTTACCTGCATGATGTTTGTAATAAAACAACAAACAAACTAACACTCCCCATGATAGTAAGTGGCTACTGCGATACATGGGCACCTGCACCCACTGTCAAACAAGCAAGACTACAGATGCATTATCATCTCTGAGGAGTAAGATGTGGTTATATTGGCACCCGATATCCTTCAGGTTTTAATACATCAGTGCAAGCACAGCTTTTTGGCAGCAGGAAAAGGTAAGAGAGTGGTATCTATGTAGAGAGACTCATATGCAGCAAAGAAGTCCTACCACTATCACCTAGTAGAATAATTGAACAGTAAATAATTGAACTAAGTAAATAAAAGTGTAATAATAGCCAGAGAGCTGGCTCCTACCTTGATTGACATATATACAAAGCTACAATTTTGTATATTGTAAATTTAACACTATTTAAATAAGATGGTGTAGTTGCAATACTAACCTCCATCTCCCTCCCCCAATTTATAACAATGTAAAACATTTATATGCAGTAGAGCTGCACTACAGATATTATAATGGATGTAGCATGAATGTGTCGTCGGCTTGACCAGGGAAGGACCATGCTTTCACAGAATATCAGCAGAAAATAGCATCTTAATGCTGCCATGTTTCGTATGGTGAGTGTAGAGAACCAGGGAACCTGGAACGACTAATTCCATATCGGTCCTCAGGGGTGCCTACACATCTGCATTTTGATTCTTAGTAGATGATAAATGTAGATGTCTATTGGCTACAGCATCCACTTACAATCCAGTGGACTGTGTGCTGTTATGTTACCCGTATTCTATAAAAAGTAACCATTATTATATCATCATCATTACTTTATCATTACATCAGTACTTCACAATTCTATAATTGGCCATAGGTTCCCCTGAGAATTGCTACTAAACATGGTGAGCCACCTGCATCCATTGACTTTTTGCGTGCTTACATTTTGGTTACAAGATTGCCACATGATTTACCTTCTTCATTGTTTGTCGGTCATTCAAGCTATATGGCCGGGGTATTGCCACTTTATCCTAGTGATTTTTGAGACATGTCAGTTACTCTTGATTTAATGTCTTCATTGTGAATTCTATCAAGCAAAGAAACTCCGAGCATAGCACTCTTCATAGCTCGCTGAGCAACCTTAAGCTTTCGCATATGGCCAGCCATAAAGGATGTAAGCGTTTTTATAATAGCTATAAATATAATATGTTGTCATCCAGTTGATTTACACAGTTAGTAATATCCTTTAGAGCAGTGTATTATTTACTATATTCTATGGGAGAGCAAGAGAGATGAATACACAAATTACGGTCCCGTTGCTTACCCTTCGGGTACAGAACCCTAAAAAGAGAGTGTGCAATTACTCATGTTACATGTATTTTTCATTACACCTACCTACAGAATACATACCTGAATATAGGACGCTGTGAATGTATTATTTTCTCAGTTTCAAAGAATATTTTTTTTTAATTTATGTTACAAAGACTGCCAGCCTTTCAGATAATTTTAGGATCCAGGTGAGTCTAAAGTTGTCAGAGTAAGAAGAGAGTTGTCAGAAGTATTTGTATGTAATAACCTGGGATTTTTCTTATTATATAAAACTGTGCAAATTAAAACATATTATTTAAGTAACACTTATTACAGGCGTGTTATTTTTAATTATTGTTTTATTCATGAATTTGGAGGGTAATGTTGAAAACATAAGGTTGTGATTGTCTTATTTAACTTTTATTATATATTATAAAATTATAGCTTTGTATATAATATGTTAGTCAAAGTGGTCGTTAGCCCTTAGAATTAGACTAAAAATTGCCTATGGCCTATGCCCACTCAATGTATGTGGCAAGATCATTTCTAAATTTAACTTAAAAAAATTCTTATTGTGAATTAATTTGAAAAATCTTATAAGCCATGTTAACCCCATTTGCCCTACTATCTTCCTCAGGTCTGTGAGAATTTTATAATATGCCATTGTGTAAGGCCCTAAAATTTTTGATTTTTCAATTTGCTTGGATAAACTCATCTGCAATTATTTTACTTCCCATTTATTCATGGAACTATCTGACTTAGGAACTTTTTAAAGTTGTGATATTACTGGTATGATTAGTTGTTAATTTTGTCTTTAGTTGTTGACAAGAATGGCCATCATAATTTTTTTTCTTAGGGTATGAAATTCAATTTTTAATGAAAAATAAATACCAACTTCAAAGAACTAAAATATGACAGAGTATAGAACAATTGAAACCTCATATTTTTGTATGTGTGTTACACAATATCGTTGTTAATTGCTAACCGATTTTGATTTATCTTTTTTTATTAAATAGGTTGTAGTCCTATATATAAATCTGTTGGAAAACTTCCACCCATAAGGGTGGCAAAATAGGGGATGAAGTTTTAAATGCTATTATTTAGAGCAAATTGTAGTTGTTACCTTAAGCTTGTGATATTTATTAATCCACTCAAAAACTCACGGGGCACAGAATAATAGCTGTGCCCCGTGTGTATCGCGTATATCACGTCTGTGAGCCGCGCGACATGACATGACACCTAGTTACAAGCATTTTATTAGATAGCAATCTATGGAAAAATTGGCAAAATGGATGGAGTACTTTCATCTATCGGCATATGTACATTATAGATCGAAGTCAAATTTTATCCACTCTCCCACCCTTTTCACGCGTCACACGTCCACCTCGCGGTTTCTTCAAGTTCTAAAGAAAGCCGTACACGATACATGAAAAGTGTGTGGGTACGAAATGAGTTTTCTTTAAAACTGAAAAAGAACCGCGCTTTCGAACACATTCTGGAGACGCTCACCCGAGAGGGGGAGGGAGAATGGATAAAATTTAACTTCGCTCTATAACGTACATATATGCCAATAGATAGAAATACTCCATTTATTTTGCCAATTTTTAAAAATAATTGAAGCAACCTCGCTCATAGAAAGGCGCTCACTGCTGGTTTCTCGGTTCTCATCGGGCGGCTATCGAGTGCCGAGCCGAGTGATGAATTATTTTAATTTTTCAATGTCTCTTAAACTATGCGTCCAAATAACATGCTATAAAAAGCAAAGTTCATAAAATTGTCTTGATGATGAAGTAACTTGTTCGTAAGGATTAATATGCCATGCCTAATAATAACGCTCATAAATCACATTTCAATTTTCAATCGTTTTTGTCACAAAATACCTTGTTATGTTTTATGTAAGAAATGGCATATGGCATTGCAGACTTTTTTTTAGATGGAGTAAAGATCTATATTTTTGTAGAACATTGTATTTACGTATAACTAACCATTACGCCAGCGTGTGGATAAATCATTTCGGAAGCACTTTTTTTTTCTATTTGCTTAACAAAAATCAAGATACGGACTGGTAGTTCCAGAGATTAGCGTGATTAAACAAACAATAAAACTCTCCCCTTTATTATATTAGTATAGATATATTTCAAAATATTAGAGATGACATTCCCCTGAAAAAGCCCAAAAGTCAAATAATCAACAAAGTTTTGTTTCTTTCTTTTTCGAATAATCATCATTATTATCATCTACTAAGCCCTTCACAAGTCCACTGCTGAACATAGGCCTTCCCTAAGGAGTGCTACAAAATAGGGTCCTTAGTCACTCGCATTCTTTAACTTCTTGCATATCTTACTAGGTTGTCTTGCCATTAGTAACAACTTAGTAATAAGTGTTAGTCAGTCCATCTCTATCCAGTAGTTTTCACAACTGTATTGAAAGACATTTTCAAGCTACTGGATTAGAAGGGATACGGTATCCAGGCGCGGTCGCAGCCTAAAACTGAAATTTTGGAGGGGGTCATTAATAATAAAATATGTTGAGTAAATAACGACTTTATTGCACAATACACAATTTTATTGCATACATTATGAAACAAATGGAAGTCTTCTATTTTTATTGGCAAATCGGGTGATAATATTTGAGACGTCTGGGGTTATCTCTGGATGAATATTTAAAAGAGCTAACCCTGTCAGTCTCTCTTCTAACATGTTTGCTCTAAACCAAGATTTTACATGCCTTAACGTAGAAAATGATCTCTCTGATGTCGTACCGCTTATAGGAACAGTTGCCAGAGTTGTCTTTTTTATAGGATAAGGGTGACAAGAGAGCACACAGTCCATCTGATGGTAAGTGGTTGCTGTGGCCTATAGACATCTACATCTATCCTCGTTTGCGAATAAAATGCAGATAAGTTATCAGCCGTGAGAACTAAGATGGAATGCCCCTTTTCCCGTAAAAAGGGTCTCCGGTTCTCTACACTCACCAAACGAAACACAGCAACATTAAGCTGCTATTTTACGCTGGTATTCTGTGAGAGCGTGGTCCTTCCTCGGTCGAGCAGACTCATTCGTGCTACACCTACTATTAATATAGCTGTAGCATGGCTCTACCACGTATATTTTTTTATTTGGCTAGAGATCATTGTCGCAAACTTCGATTGTAGAAACCACACACTTGGATATTTTGTATCAGTATTTTTGTTTGAGTCCCGTTTCTACTTTGAAATCCATAGCTGATACTCTGTAACCAGAGTGGCAGCAGGAACAACCAAGAAATAGGAATAACATTCTGATACTTTCTTCACATTAAGATCTTCTTCTGTATATTCAGATTTTGGCATAAAAATGCCTAACCCGAACAGGTTCTTCGTATCCGCAGAAAGTCGGTCCTATAGGTTAGTCACTATGCTGTCTATCAGTGGAATATAAACAGTCCTCCGAAAATATTCCTCGTCATTTTCTTGATAATTATCGCGAAGTCTATCAGTAATTTTTAGAAGATTTTGCCTGTGACCCCCCCCCCCCCCCCCTCCTTCGGACCGTCGGGAGATTTCGATAGATTTTCTCGTCTCGTATTCCGCTGCTGCACGCTGCGGGCCGAGCGTGATACTATCGGACAACCTTTTAAATGTTATCAATGAGTAAACCTTATCGTGCGCGTGCACAGATTTATTTTACAAGTGTAAATGAAGGGATAAATATATATGGTTAAGAGTAATAAATGAAATATTACTCTGTGTGGTGAAATTGCCGGATGTAGAACTTTCGAGAAATGTCTATTTTCGCCATCTTGAATATTTAGAACTAACTAACTAAATGGTCATTCCGTCGTTTGTCGAAGACCTCGTAAAAATTCTACGTGGGTCTTAGCTAATTCATTTTAACATTTTAAATATAATGGATTTCCGCAAAGTGACGCCCGATTCTAAATTAATTAAATGATGAATTATTTGATTGATGGATTGTTATGATGTTTTTAAGTGATAGTAGAATATTAGCTTCAGGGAATATCCTGTGAACTTCGGAAGTTTCATTTTAATAATTATTATCTAAGAACATTTTTATATTAAACTTTTTTGTAAGTTGAACGGAATATCTATAAAAGGTAACAATATTTTCTTTAAAAAAAAATCTTAAATTCAATCACTTGCTTTCTAGCAGAAAAACCGATAAGAAATTTAATACCTTTAATACCAGTTTTTCCCGAGGTATTGCTCGTGTGAACTTCGTTTTATCGTGTACATCATTATTGTTTCATGCCAAAATTCGGGACCACATCGTTAGTCTGTCAGTGAGTCTGTCTGTCACAAACATTTTTCTTAGATACTCCCAACAACGGTACGGTCCTTGTCTAGAAATGTATTTTTACGGGCTCATGACGAAGCACTTATTAAATATAGCTTTACTATTCTTTATGACCTAGAAAAGACAGTTTATCGAAACACTGCTCTTGGCAACTACATTAGCAAACAAACTTAGACATTCAGTGTCAGTGTCGACGGTGTTGTGCATTACCTGCCGTGTGGTATTTCACATATGGTATTTCACACTTTAATACTATTAGAATAGAATAGAATGATTTTTATTCAATATTGATTATTACATAATACTTATTGAAAGTCATTTTTTATTTACCACTGGTTCGGAAAATACCTCTGTCCTGGGAAGAACCAGCAAGAAACCCAGCGGGACTTTTTTTAAACATATTTCACTTAACAATAATTTTGTTTATACAATTTTTAAATGAATTTGCATAGAAGTAGCATGGTGGCATTCACCTTATTCCCAGGGGTTATTTTCATTCATGTATTCCTTGATATTATAACAACCTTTTTGTACAGTTTTTCTTTAATAAAACTTTTAAAGTGGTTTATTGACAAACTTTGAACATGTTCTGGGATTTTGTTGTAAAAGCGTATACATTGTCCCATAAATGAATTACTGACTCTGTGGAGTCTAGTAACTGGCATTACAAGCTTATGTTTGCTCCTAGTGTTTAAGGTATGAACATCCTTATTCTTATTGAAGCTATTTATGTTTTTATGTACATACATTACATTTTCATCAAGATATTGCGATGCCAAAGTTAATATGTTTATTTCTTAAAATTTTTCTCTGAGGGACTACAATTTAGGTTATAAATCGCCCGTACGGCTCTCTTTTGCAAAACAAATATAGCTTCAATATCAGTATGTACAATAGGGTTGTAAGTGAATCAAAAATCTCACAAAATGTCTGATCCTCATCCTCATTATCATTATCATCTGCCATCCAACGTCACCAACACTTGATCAGGAGAACCTATTTTGTGAAGAGCATTCTAGCATAAGTGTACGTTTGACGATTACTCAAAAAATGACATGACCGAATCTTCACTGTCCTGATACGGACGTTAGCAAAATAGAATGGCAATAACGATAACGATAAGTCCTTTACAAAATGCAAGAGGCGGCGCATGTTAAACAGTGAGCGATCACGGACTAAAACAGAAGATGTTAAAATACAATGATATTGTAAGTAAAAAGGCGCTAAATACTTTAGTTATTATAGCGCTGCCTCACGAGCACTTAAACGAACGTTGTATAATTCAAAGAAAGATAAATGAAATAAATCAAGTCACAACTGGCCTGTATTTTTATCTTAACAAATTTAACTATAAATTAAAATTACGGTTTTAAATTAAAATGTTAAGCATTTGCTGAAGTTAATTTTGAAACGGCAGTTCGATAAGTTCTGTATCTAGTCTTGCCTTTCGCAGAACCAGAATATGCTTTATTTCACAGTGGTATTTTATGCAAGCGTGGACCTTCACTGGTCGAACAGACTGTGTATGTTGTGTGTGTGTAGTGTGACATAAATGGTATATACGCGAGTATGTAAGCGACAAAGGAACACCGTAAAATGCAGTATCGCGTAATATTCAATAAATAGACGTGCAAGTGTAAATGTACCCTAAAACTAGACTAGTTGTCGGGTAAAGAGTAGGCATTAGCAAGTTGCACTGCGGGCAGGCGAGGCCGGCCGTCGCGTCGTGGCGCCCTCTTACATTTCACACGCAGCTCTATCCGCATTGTGATTAACTGCATAATATGTGCAATTTTTTTTGTGAGACTCAACGTATGCGCATTTAAATTATATCAGCGGTATTGTGGCGACGAGAATCTATCATCCTATTTCGTTCCATTGGCAAGGTTACCAAATCCAAAAATAAGATTTCCTAAAAAGTCTTGATTATTCAGCATAATATAATATTCATTCATTCATCTCGTTCATATTTGAGATTTGATACTTTTAATATCGTGTAGTAGCGGAGTCAACATCCACTACCTAATATCGTCCCGTAGATATCATAAGAGTGATACAAACAGGAGAAATGAAGTAGCGTCTTTCTAATAACAAATAAAAAACTGCATTAGCCAACCCTGTGAGGTTAATCTACGGGGGAGGCACTTGTACTTTTGGTAGGCTGTAAAGCTAACGGTACAACTTCCATATGAGAAGTTAATTTTTTTACAGAATGACAAACGTTTATACGTGGTAGAGCCATGCTGCAGCTATATTAATTGTATAGTTGTAGCACAAATGGGTCGGCTCGACCGGGGACGAACCACGCTCTCACAGAATACCAGCGTAAAATAGCAGCTTAATGCTGCTTTGTTTCGCATCGTGAGTGTAGAGAACTGGAGACCCTATTTACTGCAAAAAAGTTATTTTATCTTAGTCTTCACGGCTGACAACGCATCTGCATTTTGATTCGCAAACAAGGATGGATGTAGATGTCTATGGGCCACAGCAACCACTTACCATCAGGTGAACTGTGAGCTCGCTTGTCACTCTTATTCTATAAAAAAAATACAGCGCTCAGTCCACCTAATGGTAAGCGGATGCTGCGGTTCATAGATGCCTACATATATTTTCGATTAACATCCAAATTGCAAAAATGTTGTCACATCTGAATACTAAGATGGAATGCCTCGTTACAAGGAAATAGAATCACCGGTTCTTGTCCACTCACCTACGAAACACGCCGGCATTATGCTGCTGTTTCACGTTGGTATTATGTGTTAGTGTGGTGAAAGAATAAATGACCAAAGACGAATATTTGCCATAGTTGCCACGCTTACACAGTTAATTTGGAAATTATAATGGATCTGCTATTTCAAGGTTTAAATTTTACTATCTCCACGTTTTGTCGTCCAAGAGTCTGATTCTACTGTTTTTCAAAAGACGTTTTTGTGTTTGTGTACATTGATACATTGAATATTTTCACTTGCATATCAAAGAACAAAAAGATTTCAACAGTGGTAGAGCCACGTGGCAGCTTTTGCTGTCACACGGATGGGCCGGCTCGAACCGGGGTGGTACCACGACCTCACAGAATACCAGCGTGAAGTAGAGACTTACCTCTGCGTTTCGCTTGGTGAGTGCAGGTGGCCGGAGGCCCTTTTTACTGGAAATGAGGCATTCCATCTTAGTCCTCACGGGTGACAACGCATCTACATTTTGATTTGTAATAGAGGATAGATGTAGATGTCTATGGGCCGCAGCAACCACTTACCATCAGGTGGACTGTGTGCTCGTTTGTCACCCTTATTCTATAAAAAAAAAAAAAAAAAAAAAAAAAAAGATGATATCGCCTATAAACCAAGTTTTCATTACAATCGATTCTGTCGTTATTTTTTAAAGAAAGAAAGTCCAAAAATACCCAAATAGCAATTTGATAGTAAGGGCAGATCGAATCGTACCCACATTTAATAACTAAGATCAACAATGTAGCTGAAAATCTAATTAACGTGTGCTCATGCTTTTATAATCTTTATAGTTATATGTACGTCGGAGAGTGCTCCGAATTCATCATACATTTTCTCATTGTGTAAAAAAATAATATACCCCATAACAAGTGTAACAGAATCACAAATATATTTGTGATTCGATCATTTCCGGTTTTATTTATCGGTCATTATTCTCGTCCGATTTGAAAGATGTATTGACAGTGATCTGTAGTGTAAGTGAAGTGGGTCCGTTGCTGCATTGACCTCTTGAAAGCCCGGGGGCGCCGGTTTACGATCAAGTGTCCGACGTTGTTTCTCAGAAGATCGGTATCATTGGAATAACGCTGACTCACACGAAATTCCTCAGTTTAGGGCATAAAAACACTATATATAGTGTGTATAAAAAATCTTCAGATTAGGCACAACCCACACTATACATGGTGTAAGGTACAATAACACTATAATATAGTGTGTATTGTGTTGTGATACACACATTACTATAATGTGTATTGTGCCTAAGCTAAATTAATTTATTCTATAATGATAATTTCATTCTATAGTGACTAGAATAAAACTATAGATTAAAGTAATACTTATTGAAAGTAATTAATGCCTTTACAACTATTTAAAATATGCTATTATACCATTAAACTATCCGTCAACTGTAACGCTCAGTTTGTAATTATAGTTTAGTTGTTGACGGGGCCAAACCTACTTATTACGTTAATGTTTGTACTTACGCACCCAAGCTGCTCAACGTGCCAGTTATATGACGTATCGTCCACTAATGTATGACACACAATGCTCGGTCTTCCTTAATCGTCGGCTTTGCGTCTTCGAGTGACTTATCGTGATTTAACCGGCCCTGCGCTTCGCGGCGTGAGGTGGCCATTTCGTCGACCACGGCTCGTTATTTCGATTATCAATAAAAAAAATCTTGAATGGGCAGTATCGAAGGTACCATAAATCAAGTGAGACTGTGCGTGAAATATATGACTTTACTTGACCGTACCTTATGACAAGAAGACTATTCGAAGTAAAATTTTAACTATTATTTCTCTTCATCAGCACACAGACAGCTGAATATGAGCCCATTCTGTTGTAGGTTCTGTCTGCGGTCAAAACATACCGGACTGAGAAACATACAGACCGAGAAGCAGCGCAAAAGACGCATAAAGCCTGGAACTGCGATCGTGAATCCGGTTATTCCGGTCTGCCAAGCATGACGACTAAAGCAAATATGTCTTATAAAATATAGAATACCTACTGACTATAATATGAAAGTGTACATACTTAATGGTTTGTTATTTTTTTTTCATTCATTCATTATCATTACAAAAGGGACATTTACCATAGCTGCCACGCTTGGCAGGTGGGCAACCGCAGTTGTTTTTTATTTGCTGGTTGTTATTAGGAACACGCTGCTGCCCACCTCCTCATTTGTTTCCCCACTTTTGTCACTTATGACACCTACGGGACAATATAGGGTTCTCACACCGCTACTAAGTACCCGGATTAAGACGATGAGACTTGGTAATGTTAAAATCATGTGTGCGACGCACGCTGCTGACTGACGAAATTGCGGAACTTTAATCTCATATACTGGTGTTGGCAAGCAGCATTACCAGTGCGAGGATATCGGTTCTCAGCTTACAAACCTACCTGCTCAGCTTGATGACCTTACTCTCATGCGAACTTGTGCATTCTTTAAAAGGCGTGTGTCTGAGCGTTTATCATCCATCTGTACATGTATACAAACAGCGACGCGCTCTCGTCGACTATATTTCATTTTAATAGTTTTTTAATTAAACCGTTAATTTGCTTTTAATAGCTATCTAAATTAGAACTTTGAAGAATCCCACAGTTGTTGCTTCATTAATTTTACCCTAAAGGTAAATAAGATTTTGTAAGGTATTAAAAGAAACATTTAATATTATGTGGTTTACCGGATATTATCTGGAGTCGGATTTTCTTATTGTGAAATAGGTATTTTGTACCGCTTCTTTGAATTTATTGTGTTCTTGTATTTCTGATCTAGTTTTACTGACTTCAAAAAGGAGAAGGTATTTAATTCGACTGTACATGTTTTTTATGTGTGTTGCCTCATAACTTTCTTCTACGTGAACCAATTTTGATGATTCTTTTTTCATTTGAAAGCTGGTGCTTCTCATGTGGTCCCTCATTTGATCAAGGTCTGACCAGTAGTTTTTGAGTTATCCTTAATAATTTATATTGAATTTGGTTGTAATTATTTTTTTAATTTTTGCCACTTGTTATCCGTACATTTTGCTTGTTAGACGCATAATATATATAAAGCTTGTTAAATATTTAAAAAAGAACAACCGTGAGGTGAAGGTTACTGCGACAGTAAACGGTTCAAAAAAAAAATTATAAAGTATTCTTGTACCTAATTTGCTAAAACTAACTTGTTTATAGTGTTAATATTTACGTAATTTATTCTGCATAGAACTAATGCAAAATCGTGAGGCATCGAATAGA